AAACTTCAAGGAAAAATACTTTTCACAGTATTTGTTTTTTAATTCACTGTATTAAAAAAGAAGTAAATCATTATTTGTTCTTTCCTAAGGCTAGTTTGATATTTATAAAAAACATGTTTTTTTTTTATAAACAGTGAGTTTCCAACCATATCATAGTGTAATCAGTAAAAGAGTTTGAGGTTTTTCTAATCCTGCCACCTGTTTCTCATTGCTGATGACTCACCTGACTGCTGGTGGGGACGCCATCTACTGCTGTGCAGGGGCCCAATGTGAGGACGGGCATCTCCTGGCCCTCCATCCTACGAGACTCCAGACAGTTCTGCCTCTGGCGGATCACACCGGATTTAGAGTCCGAGTCATCTGGGACCCTGAGAAAGAGCACAGACTGAGCTCAATATTTAATTTATAACTTCTATACACTGTGTAAAACCAATACGATGGATTATTTTAATATCACTATAAATATGATTTAATAAAAACAAAGATAAATATAAAAACATAATTCCTGTAAAGGAGCTGGAGGATATTTACCTTTGTTAGATATCCTTAGTTTTTATTATTAAATATTAAATCTGGATATATCAGTGAAGTTATTCAGATAAACAACTAAATAAAGGTCCACATTCATAAAGCACACATAAACAAACATATGCATCATAAAAACCAAAATAAAATAAAGACATGAACTTGAAACTATCTAAGTTAAACATCCAATTAAATCCTTGTTTAATACATTGCTTAAAGAAAACCCTAACATAACAAAGAAGAAGAAAAATGGAAACAGTTTGTTTAATTAAAAGTAATAGTGCTGTTTTGATAAACCCATAAATAAATATCAAACATTTGACAGTTTAGAGGTTCCCAAAGTGGGGGGGTGGAGGCATAGTGTAATTACAGGACGGACATGGTAGAAATGGACCAGATAAATGAGCTGTTCTGAATAGCAATTAAAAAAACTAGATTGAAGGCAAAGTTGAATTTGTTTACACAGTAAAATAAACAGCTAAACTTAAAACATTTATGCTGTAAAAGTGGTGGCTTTGTGATTTTAAGAACATAGTAGTTTATCTTATTGCAAATCGTTTTACTGCATCTGAAATTTCTTAGTTAAACTTTCAAAATGATTAGTTGGACGGGGATGCAAAAACTTTTTTTTTTAATCACAGAGAGACTCAGCAAGGAAAGTTTGGGAACCACTGTAATAGTGTTTAATAAATATTTAGATTATACCTTTTTTTAAGGTTTTAACCAGACTTCAACACAAGGAAATAAACAAGGTAACAACAGAGAAAAGCAAAGAAGATCTTTGATCATATGCGTGATGGAGCATTGCATTCTGGGATTGTTGGGAGTTTTCTGTAGCTTCTGCTACATGGTAGCGGTTGAAGAGAGATCCAGTAAAGCCGGGCATACAAGGTAAGATTTTTTTTCAATTGTTGCCAGAGATGGCAAAAGTACTCACTTTCCGTACTTGAGTAAAAGTACAGATACTTGTGTTAAAAAACACTCTGGTAAAAGTGGAAGTACTGATTAAACTTCTTTACTCAAGTAAGAGTAACATAGCAC